GAGCCTAGGTAACTTTGTGCATCTGCCCCTAAATTTCATTGCACCCCAGTCCCTTGTCTTTAGGGTAGGAACACCAACGTTACCTGCCTCCCTGGTCTGTAGTGAGGATAACACTATCAAACGTAACAAGATTCATTGAGGACTTAAGGATACCTTAAATATAACTTCATATAAATAATAAATAAATATCTTACGGTATGCAGTTGGCTCTCTTTGGCACTGTAAAAGCTCCACTGAATAAAGAAATTTCCCAGCGGTCCAGAACTGGTGTATGTACAGAGGAGGGTTGCGTTTCCACCTGCAGTGACATTCACTGTCTTCTCGGGGACGGTCACCACAACGCCGCTGACGTGGCCTGTGGGCAGTAAGTGTGGTGAGGAGAGATCAGCCGCGGCCGACCCTGGGAGCTGTGCGGGAGTGCCTTGCTCCCTGCGTTATTGAAGAAACCCGTAGGACGTGTCTAGTCGTTCTCCTTTTCAGTACAGTTTCCCTTGGGCTTTGTGTGGAAATTTTAGTGATTACAAGCTGGGAGTGGGTAAAAGCTAACAAGCAAATAAATCCCCCAGAATACCTGTGCCCTTAAAACAAATAATATTCTGAAAAAGCAGAGTTCCTAAAAACGTACTTGTTCTCACTTGCAGAGACTTGTCTTCTCACTAAGAGCCTGTGGCTAAACCAAACCTGTCTTCTGCACTCGCAGTGCTCTCCTGCACCTTGCACTCTCATTCACAGCTGTCTCTGGCCCTCTTTTACACCCTTCTTGCCCTCTTCTTTTGCAGTTATTCCTTTAGATGTCTGATGTTCTTTACCGTGGATCACCATCTCCTACAGTGTTGTCTCTTCTTTCATTCTTGTGTTCCGACTTGGACTGGGTGGCACTGTCAGGTTCCCCCAGGCTGGAGCCCAGCAGCCTTTCTCCGCATTTCTTTTGCTAACTACTTTGCTTTTGTTTAGCTTTCTTAGGGCTTACATGCAGAAGCTATTCTTTTCCAATGCTTTTACACTGGAAATGTCAAACTAAGCTTTTTGGAACTGCTTTTATTATGTGGGTTGTGAGAAATTCTGTGATAACTTGATCAACCTTTTCTGTTGTGCTCAAAGTCTTTGCTACGCAGCCATATTAATGAAAGGAATCAAGCACCATCTTACAGTATTTCTCTGTTTCTGTCCTCCATATAAGTTACTAACAATGGTGACATACGGCAGCAAAACTAGAGCTGTCAGAAAAATAAGTCTGAATTTCAGGGTTTGGCTAGATCACTGAGTCCGGTTTTAAAGCTACTGTCTAAAGATTCTGAAGGAGAATATATTTCTTTTGAATGTGATGGAAAACATAAGTCTTTTGGAGTTTTCTATGTAAAGCAAGCAAAGTGAGAACTTCATGTTATAATAATAATTTTCACATAGGCTTATTGCACATATGAATGACAGAGGAAAACATACAAAATATTCTTCTCAATGAAATATCTGTGCATCTTGTGTTTGGGTGCTGCTTTTGAGAGTTTAAGCAGAACCTCCAGTAATACCAAAAGAGTATTTTGCTCAAATTATCAGCTCTATGAGAGAAAACATTATTTAGAAGAGAAATATAATCTATTTTGACATTTTTAACCATGTAAATGTTGCAGATTCATCAGTTGCTACAGTATGCAAACCTATCTGAACCTAGAGTCTGAAGTCTTCGGGGTCTGTTTTCCTTCTTTGATGGCTTCAATAGTAAAAGCTCACTGCAAGGAAGAAGGGAATAATCTCCTTTCCACGTTGGTGGTTGCTAGGATGAGAACTAGCGGGTTTAAACTACAGCAAGATTTACATTATATGTGAAGACAGTCTCACAGAAATGGCTGGAGACTGACCTAAATGTGTCAAACCTGCCTTGGAGAAAGGGGGGATCCCAGTGCTGGCTGCAAGTCCTGCTTGTCCTGTGAGTTCACAGTAGCTTAATCCATACTGAGATCTAATATAAAAGCGGTGTAGTATTATTTTAGATGTCTCATTTCACTCTTCTCAGCTTTAAGAATTAGAGTTGGTCAGAGGATGATAGTTTCTTGCCACAATAATACTTCCAGGTTTACATGTATTTATTTTCTGCTCTTTGCTGGATTAAAGCTACGGTCTTTCAATGCAGTATCATTCTACTGAAAACATCCATTTTCCAGTCATCTGCTCCACGCATTTCCTTTATCATTCTCTGGTTTTGGAGTCAGGAGTGCCACAGAGCCTGGCTGTTATAAGCTTTTCCAGAAGAAATTAATTTTAGCAGAAATGACTCCACAAAGCATTCTAGTTTCCATGAAGCTGTATATTTTGAAGAAATACATTTAGAAGAAATAGGCTTCACTCTAGTAAAAATACAAAGCCAAAACCTATCAAACTTCCATTGTCCAGCGAGGCTGTTTAAAGCCATCACTAGTTGTAAGACGAAGCTTTTGACTGAAAACGGAGTGAACTGGATCCGCAGAGCCTGTTCCCTCATCATGGAAGTTAATGGGAGTTTTGCTTTGCATTTATTTCACTGTTTATGGTTTCAAACTCGTAATCCCATTTCGTACATACAGGCCTTTCGGTTTCAACGAAAAAAGTGCGTGAGTAAGAAGTACCTCAGGGAAAAAAGCTAGCGTGAACTGGACAATAACTATTTAAAAATAGTTGATCTATGTCTTTGACTCATTAATATTGCAGTAAGACCACTTCCTTGCTACAGAGAAAGTCATTGCAGCAAACTGGGAATCGCCCACTTTCCCTGAAGTCCCATGCAGTTTTTAACGCTCATGAAGTAAATCCAAATTTGCTGATCTTTTCCTAGCCACTGCAGAAACCCCCGGTCAGTGGTGCCCATTGGGATGGACACACTGCTAGTCTTAAATCCAGAACTTTAAAATTAGAAGACATATTGTTTTGAAAAGTATTGGTACTAACACTGACTTACTTTTCATTTCTAAGGCAAAAATCTGTGGGGTTTATGGGGGGGGGAGAGATAACATTGAAACACCAGGAGCAACTATTGAAAGTATTGTTCTGGCGTCCAAACCAGATAATTCCATCTTGAAAAGAAAATGTGGAAACTAACTTCCATTTTCTTTCGCGGATACAGAGGCTGTTCATCTCCATGGAGCATTAGACTTAAAATGTCTGCTTCTGTATATATTAAAAACAAAGCCTAGCACAATGAAATGTCCTTGAAACATGAATAATATATAATCTTTAATATATCATATAATTCCTAGACTCCACAAAGTATTACATCCTCACTTAACTTCAGGGAAATCCAAAGGATTATTTGCATGCTTAAAGATAAGCATCCCCCCCAAATTTTTTGGTGGGGGTGGGAACGAGGCAGCATTTCTCAGGGCTATTATCAAGGGGAGACAAAAGCTGAATGGGAGAAAACCTAACCTTGAGACGCTTGAAAGACCCTAACGCTCTACGTGAGAGCTCTTTGCCTCTTCCTGTCTTTGGAGCAAAGCATTAATTTATCAAAGCTAAAATGTTGTTCCTGATCAAAAAACTCTTACCGGCCAGTGGTCGGCTTGCTGATTTCCACAAAAATGGCATAGCATTATAACCACGATTTTCATTCCATCCTGAAATAAATCTTGAATGTTCTCCTAGCTTGCCAGTCAGGTTCACCTGCTCCCTATTTCAACAAGTTCCTTTAACCCAGTGCTATTTCGATCGGTTTGTTATTCTTACCTGTAAGGATGGCTAGAACTGGAAATATCTCCAGCATCGTTGCAAACATCTTCTTGACGCTGGGAGAGAAAAGAGACCAGATGCTGCTTCTGACTTCGACTAAAACGCAAGTGGTTTTTTTTTAAGCGGGTTTTTGTTTTCCTTATCAGCTGTGTATCAACACGTCAGTAAGCTTTTTCATTCTCCTTTATCACATGTGTGCCTTTCTCCGACTAGTGGTGTGACTGTTCGGTTGAATCCATTTTGTGGGTTTTAAGCAACTGAGGGTTTTGTTAATAACAAACCTTTGAATCAGAGAAGCCCAGATTCTCCCACTTTTGCCAGGGCCCAGCAGCATTTGCCTACGTAAGTACTTCCACTGAGTACAAGCAAAGTTATTTGTGGAGCTATTAAACAGTCAACGTGATTACCAGTGTTGGAGTCAGGCCTAATATGAATAAGGAATAATCTTTATTTCCTGTTAATTCTATCCTTAAAAATGGGCATGTGGAGATAATATGTTGTTAGTACATTTTCATTTTAAAACATATTTCTCATACAGTTTTATACAGAATGATTACATTGGACTCATGATTGCCTTGAAATTTCCGTATTGAACTCATCAATAAGATAACATACCAAAATAAAATAAATGTTTTCATCTTCTAAACTGATAATAAAATCTGTTTCATCTAGTTTTAATCCATGAAGTTGGATGCTACTAATACAAAATGACAAGGTGAATATATTGATTTTTATTTAAATGTTAATACATGATTTATATAGTGAAAAAGCAGTGGATGAAGATTAGAACTTGAAGAACTAATTACAATAATTTACAGTAGCTTACTTTGTCCTTACTGGATTCAAAACGCCTTCTCTAAGTCTCCTGAGCTCATTAGGAACTGAAGGTGCCCAGCTTCTTGCAGGAGCCAGCTTGGCTTTCTTTATCCCATGTCATTTGATTGAGGCTAATTCAAAGCCGCAAGCGGCGATGGGAGCAGCCGGTTCTGCGTACACAGCCGTGCTGAGCGAGCAGCTGAAGGCGTAACAGAGGGCAGCATTGCCTTTTAGATGTGTGCCTGTGCCTGGGACCAAGACAATTAAAATGGTCAGGGACTTTTTTTCCATGCGTGTTGAAAACATGGGTCTAGTTCATGCCCGATGATCCCGTCTTTCCAGCAGCAGGGAAGGGCGGCCACCCTTTCCATGGCAGGGGCCATGCCGCAGCCGGGGAAGCCCTTTTGGCAGATGGGGCTCAGCATCTGGCCATGTGTGCTTGGAGGGGAGAGGTATGCCCAGGCTCTCCCGCATCTCTCATGTGATGTGGTAGATTCTTCAGCACAGAAGTGGTTACGTCAGTTGCTTTTGGGATCAGGTTTATGGCCTTAGGTGAATTTTATTCTGCCAGATATTTCTGTGCATGGCAGATGCCTGAATAATCTCTGGGCAGATGTCAGGGTTTGATTATATTCTTATATGAGCCATCTCCAAAAGTTTTATAAAAGGTGTCTTTCCCATAGTTCTGACTGTCAGCACTTCACACAGCATTCTCACAGGGTGGGCAGTGCTTGCCTTTTAGTGATGGGGAGGACAAGACTTGGAACGGTTAAATTTCTCATCCAAGGTTGCAGGGGTGACCCAGAGTCAAAAGGAAAATGTACTTTGAAAGACTGAAATTCAAATTCAGGTTTCTTCCAAAATGTGAAAAGCATTTAGATTCACCTTCACTAATGAAGCATGGAGGGATCCCAAATGGACATGGGAAGTTCTTGCTGGCTTTCCCCAGGTCAGCCTAAAATGGGAGCTGCTGCTGTTTTCCAGTCATTTAGCTATGGATGAGCACAAACGATCTGAACATGAGCACAATCTACAGACCCATTTCAGTGATCGCCTGTGGCAGCTCCATAACACCCAGAAGGAGTCTCACTAATAGCTCACAGATCCTTTGCAAAAGACAGCAGTTTTCAAGAAGATACAAAAAACATGTCCACCCCGCACTGCAGGTCAGCACGCACCTGCATAGTCCTGGGTCTTTACCACAGTATCACTGTGTCCTCTAATTCCCTCTCATTTATCAACACCAAAGTCCTTTCTTTGGCACTTAAGGCACCCTCGGTTAATATATATTTTCTCCCTGTTACATTCACTTTTTGTGAATTAAGTCTCTGAAAGCTGACAGAACTACATTCCGGAGGGTGAAATGCTCAGTTTAACCAGAGAACAGGAGCCAATAACACAACTTCTGCACTAATATGCGCCTGTTTAAGCTTGGTACGCAGGGCTGACATTACCAATTACAGAGCGGGTATATCTCATAGCGAATGACTACAACCATCGATCCTTTTTTACAGAGGACACTGAACACCAGGAGCATGTACTTTTGACTGTTACCAGCCTGGGGCTCATTTCACACCGTCAAACCAGAAGTGTGTACCCTAACACTAACCTTCTAAGCCATCCAGGGTTATTCTCCTGTGAAGGTAATAGATGGTTTTGCTTCTAGCCCATTGCCACTAGAGCAGCACTGCCTGTTCAAATGTCACCTTAGGAAAAGAACTGAACATGGAGAGCAAAATCTGGTTTGGCTTGATGATGGTTAAGGTTAAGTCACAGCGGGATGACGAAGAAGCTCTCGCTTACACCGCCGGCCCTTGGCTAAGAGGAGAGAACAGCCCAGAGTGCAGCAACAGCAGCAGCCACCTTGCCACGGGTGGAGCTTATCTGGAGATAAAATGGAAGGGGCCAGTACCAGGAACTGTATGTTAACAGACTTGGTGACTCAAATCTGTGTACACTGAAACGTATTCAGAAATGTTCCCTTCCAAGCAGCTCCCTTGTATTCACTCTATAAATAGGAGTGTCAGTCATTAAAAAAATGAAGCCCAGAGGCACACCCAGAGCAAGGCAGCATCACCCAGCCAAGCACTGCCATGCTATTTAGGGGTCGCTTCTGTCAGCCTGAAACCTAATTAAAAAAATCCCTGTAGAATTCCATGTTTAACTTGACAAAGCTCAGCAGCACTTCAACTGCTTTGTCTTCCTGAAATATGCTAAATATGTGATTGTTCAAAGACACCGAACCCAGCATAACGTGATTTACAAAGCTGTCTAGTTCAGTATCACATCTGATTGATTGCTGGGGATGAAGAGTGTAATTAAAGATTCAAACAAGTACAGTGAAAGAGCTGCTTGAAGCCTCTAAATCCATCATTAGGTTGACTTTCAAATACACTTTACAGTTTGCTTGCTTATTACACAGCCTCATTTGTTGTCTAAAAAATATTTATAAGCCTTTGCTGGAGTGTTTGCTGCCTAAAAGTTAATTGGTGAACTCACTGTTAGTTTCAAGCTCACAGAGAGTGAAAGTCTGTAAAGGTACCAATAATATAAACTCTTCTGAGGAGAGCACCGTGTCTTGTCACCCAAAAATAACTTGATCAGAAATATACTTAATCCTCTGTATCCACTTCCCAGAAAAGGCACAGCTTATTATCAAAAAGCACAATACCATTTCCTTATAAAGGTGCTGGACTGATCTTTTTTATATTGTCCCTTTTCTCACTCCAGAAAGAAGTACTTTTTTCCTTTTAACCATTCGAAAGGCAGGGTCCCCTAGAGCAAACTCTTTATCCAACAAGCTTTCCTCTTTCAGGGAGGGGGAAGCACTGAAATGAGATACACCAGATCAGTGATTGCCAGGAGATTGGAGGGCTGCATGGCCAGGCACCAGCACTTTGGGCTGGGTTTGATGGGCTCATACCTGGCCTTTCGGACTTCCTCCATATGGTTCTCTGCTGGCCAGTGTCTCGAAGTGGGTTTCTTGGGCATGGCAGAGCAGCACGGACTCGCATGTCGCATCTGGCTGTACTGCCTTCGCAGCTTCGTGCCCTGAGGATGGCATAAAAGCTGTCGGGTCAGTGTTGTGGGTGTATCCTGGGTGGTTCTGGCAGCCCTAAGCATGCCTCCTTTCCATCCTGCTTGCCAGTTAGCAACTTTATCCCCAGAGATAAACTCTGCCTTATTGTAAGTGGTGTGTATCACATTTTGCTGAATTCCAGCTAGATCTCCCATGCTCCGCGTGGTTGGAATAGCTCCTATTTTGACAAGTGATCTGTCAAGGCACAAGCTGGCAATTCAATAGGTGAGTCTATGCTGAAGTTGGTAGCCCAGGGTGCAGCTAGGGGTGCTCATCAGTGCCTCAGGGTTTCAGTTTTTCCCTTAGACTTACTGAAATCCAGTGGAAATGTATAGAGAAAGCCATTCAAGCATCCAGCATCTTCTTTATCAGAGTAAGTGTGGATTGCAGCGTTCTGGCCCTGTCCTGGCTGGGGAGTCAGTCTGTCCTTGACATGCCCCTGGCAGTTTCGGGTGGACATAAGCACTTTCCACTGCCTGTCAGGGACAGGTATGGTGTTGGGTGCAGACAGGCATCACCCCAAAGCTGGCTGCGCTCTGCATCCTCACCAGTGTGCTAAGGAGTAACCCGGGGAGCACTTCGACAATGTATGAATTTTTATTTTTTACATGAGCAGTAGTAAGCCCAGGTTTATCAGCACTGCTCTCCCAGTCGGTGGCTGTGACGTGACCCTAGACTGCTCTGTAATTTGAAGGTACCCTGACTCCCTTCCCGCATCCTTCCCACCACAACCTTGTGCTTCCCATTTCCCTGTTACGGTACTCCCCGCACTGGCATCTCCAGCCCAACCCCATGATTTCTCTCCTGCTCCTCAGAGAAGCTGTGGGCTGTGGAAGTCAGCTGGAGGCTGGAGGACTTCAAGGGAGAGGAAGGGGACTGAACTCCTTCCCCAGTACAATGTCCCATCCCAGTCACCCACCAAAACCAAGGTGGCCTTCATCACCGTAATTGCTTCGCTGATACTGCAGACGATGGCTGATTTTGCTTATGGCAGCGGTTACCGTAAAATTACATGCAACTCTCCAGAGAAGGCCGCCTTCACACCATCACTTGCTGGCCTCAGCTGTCTGTGGAGGAACACTTGTAAAGAGCCCTTTGTGAAGATATAATCTGAAAGTCTTCAGGAAAAATCAGATGGAACATACCTTTCCATCTGTCTCCTCTTCCCAGCCAAGGAAAGGCACCAGGCTGCAAAC